TGGGAAAAACTAGAAAAAGGTCGCCGAAGTTTCTTTCGTCAGGGGCTACAAACTTTGACTATAGAATCACGTTCTTTGAAGTTGAAGACTGATTTTATGACTAGCCTTTGTGATCTCACTGGTGATGATAATATCAGCCCTTTAATCTGTTGACAAAAAGGTCCTGTCTTTGTGACCCACTTGAAAATCTAAAGATCCCCCATGAAAGATTTTAACGTGTAATGTTTGGGAGGAGGCCCTGTGGAGGTAAATGCAATGTTAGATATACGTGTAATCTGTACGTATTTTGAAGTCAAGGGAAGGTGAGCAATATTGTTCATGATGGTGGCTTCCATGTGGGCTATGGAGACCTTTCGCTTTAAGAAGGTTGAGAATGGATGATGAGTGTATGAAAAGTCAAGTTTCTTTTGAATTATTGCCATTCAAAGAGGAAAGCTCGTGTACTGTACTGCCCACGAATCTTGTTACTCGTTAATTGGTTCCTTCGTTTGATTAAATAACGTTGGTGTGATTAGAATATGAGCCGATGTAATTCACCAAGTTCATTAGTTAACTCATCACCATAGGCATGATGAGAATTCTCGAAAGAACAAGTAAAAAAGGAAGAAACGAATGATCATGTTTCTAGCTGGTGGACAGTTGATGAAGTGTGTTCACGATAAAAATTAACTGGTGGAGTGAATGGAAAGTTGTGTGTATGATGAATAAAAAGTTGAGTGTACTACGTGTTAAGACTCTATTTAAAATAAAATTGTGTCTTTTTAGAAAAGAGTTGTATTCTTTCATAAGTACTTCTTTGATCTTATTTAAAATAGAGAGAGCAACGTGCAGTTTTTCTAAAACTCTTCCCATTGTTATTGCCAGGTGTACAAGTTTTTTTTCATAATAATAAAAAATAATAAAAATTTTATTTTAAAATTTTATTTAAAAGCTTAAATTATTAGATTGAGATAATTATTTGATATGGTATTAGAGTTTTGATTACCAAGCAGTCAGGAGTTCGAATCTCACCATCCCTATTTATTTGATAAAAATTACACACAAAATAATATGGGTTTGTATAAGTTTCAAGCTCAAAGGGTTTTCACTTGAGAAAATATGTTAAAAAATAATATAAATTACATCTTCAGACCTTACCTAAAAACTTAAGCTCGGATAATTTTTTGACACATGGAAAGTAATATATAAATTTTGATATGTTATTTATTTTTATCTGCATTATAAAAAATAAACGATCAAGTAAGATTAAGAAATAACATTGTAATTACATTGCAAGTACCGGTGAACATGAAACAAATTGTTTTAATATCAGATGATTGATTACTGCGTTAATCTATACTCTATTTTTTATTGATAAGTATTATAAGTTGTTGTTTTTTTTATATGTTGATTTACATGTATATTTTATACTCCTTAGAAACTAGATTATCAAAGCTAGATGAAAAAAAACATTAATTTTTCATTTGATAATTAAAAATAAACTAAAAATCATCATCAAATCATTATGATTCTAAACGCATTACACTGTGAATTGAAATAATATAATAATTATTTTCCTATTCTTAAACAAAATCATAGAAATAATCCATTAATTGATCATTATCAAATTAATTTAGACAAATTGATCTTCTCTAGATACAATGAAATGACTTAATTATCTTTTAAATAAAAAAAATTAAGTTCAATTTTATAGGGATTTTCATATTTTTAACTTTTTTTAGTTATAATCAAGCAGGATAGGGCAATTTAGTATTTTAATGAATATATATATATATATAATAGCTCATAGGTATATGAGACACCATTGCCATCTAGATGGTGTGTAAGATGTCTTTTAGTGGCCAGACAATGACTTCTGACATGATATTCAAATTGTCTCGGCGTCACCTCTATTTCTAGCAAGTATGTGTGACCAACAACATTCAAATAACTCTAACAATTTTTTTATCTTTTTTTCTCTGTTTACTCCTTGATTTTAGCGCACAACCCTTCAATTTTTTAAAGTATTCTTTCAATTTATTTTTTTAAATTTCATTTGTGTTCTTTTGATTACTATTTTTTTGTTTAAAATAATTTATAAAATTAAAATTTATTTTTAGTTTCATCATTCTTTATTTTTTTTCATCCATAGAAATTAACATGCATTTTTTTTATTGTTATCTGTTTTGTTTGAATGATTTTTAATTTTTTTTATGATTTACTCGTCCTTTGATTTTTTTTCTTATAAGATTTTATCCTCATTCTTTTAATTGTTTTTTTGTACCCTTTAGTATTTTTTAAATTGATATTTTTTTCTATATTTATTCTTTAACATTAAATTGGTTGAGAATTGAATTTCTCGATTGAGCTCAGATTTAAGATTTCATGGGTTGTGAGTTAGAGAAATTAATCCTAGTTTGAGAGATTTACTAGGGTTTACTTGTTGTTTTTTTTTAAGCTCATGTTTTTCAGTTTCATTCTTTAATAATTATTTAACTAAAGATTGGAGTTTGTTATTAATTTTTTTGTTTGCTTTCAATTGGATTTTCACTAATTTTGGAAATGATTTAGATCATTTTACTCTTTGACATTAAGTTTTTTTTTCTGTGATTAAGTTTCATAGTTTAATTCAATTTGTTTTCGAAGGGGTTACCTATGTATCACAACGAAGTCACGTAATTTACATGCTGACTCGGGAGGGTTCAATTCATTTTATTTTATTTTTATCTTTTCTAGATTATATTTTTTTTCTTCAAATTTTTTTAAATTTTCTTTGACTGGAATTGAGCTTTCAAATTTTTTTATTCATTTTGCTTTTATAGGATTATCACTTTTTTATTTAATTTTTTCTTTATTATTAGATAAAATCCTTTAACATTTTATTTTTTAAAATTGATTTTTTTATTTAAATTTCATCATTTAACATTTGATTGATTAAGAATTGATTTTCATGTTTTTTTTTCCTTTCTATTGGATTAATGGGTTAACTTGATTTGTTTCAAGTTTTTTTTGCTGTTTTTATTTTTTTAATTTTACTCTTTAATAATATTGAGTTGTTTTATAATTAATTTTTATAATTTTATTCAATTTAGTTTTGATAGAGTCATCCTTGTGTCATAACCAAGTGATGTATTTGGTGTGTTAAATCAGATGGGTTCAAGTCAGGCTTTCTTAACCTTTTTTTCATTATTTATTTTTTTATGTTTATTTAATATTGTTATCATTTTTTATTTGTGTTATTAAATTATTGAACTTATTAAACTCAATTTAATTAATGGTTCGAGTCTTAATATTTTTTTTTGCTTTTTCAAAAATTCTTGCATTGTTTTAGTTTTTTTTTATGTCATGGAAAAAGTTAAATAGATCCATGGTACAACAAAGACTATCTATTTAGAATATAGTGTAAGTTTGGCTCAAGGTTAGGTTTAAGAAATTTATGCTCAAATTGAACCTTTAAAAACTACTTCTTTTTTTTTTTTTAAAAAAATAGACTTCATGCACCAACCCCATATCTCTATCACATTCATATACCCACTCTTGGTAGATAACTAATCTAGAACGAGTCAATGGCGCAGCTACACTCATTTCCTCGCCACCTGTCGCCAACCTTTTACTAACAACATCTCCTAGCTAAAACTATGGCATCATGGCATTTTATAACACTATCAAAGGAATAAAACGCATGGAGAATCGAAGAGAATTTACCAAACACACAAGGTCCTAAAATAAAACATTATTTTTCCTGGTTGCATCGCATCTATGAGAGTGACTTGTCACTTACAATTCACATGACCTTTTTGTGTCATATCATAATATTTTTAATATTTTTTATTTTTTATATAGTATATTAAAACAATATAAAAATATAAATTTTAAATAAAAATAGAAATTAAATTTTAATTATTTTTTATTTAGACTACACTCCCAAATAAAAATGATACATATATTTGCAATTGTAATACATGTATTTTTCTCTATTGCATGTTGTCAATCTCCTTAAAATAAAAACATCATTAATCATTTCATAGAACTCACATTCGGTCAAAGACCGGAAACAATTAAAAAACCAATTGTTAAAAAAATGAAATTAATTAATGATAATATTTTTTTCCATTTGCATGAGAGGCTTAGGTGTGTTGGTAATATGTTATAAGTGTTTTTGTAAAATTATGTTTTTGGTAAAAAAAATCATCTTTGATTATAATCTCTAATATTTTTATATTAAAATCATCCAAAAAAAATCTAAATATAATGTTTTTCAACTTCAAAATATGTTTTGTTTGAGTGTTCGGAAGTATAGTAAAAATTATTTTTCAAAGTATTTTTTGTTTAAAAATATATTAAAATAATATATTTTTTATTTTTTAAATTTTTTTAATACCAAGACATAAAAAACAATCAAAAAATATAAAAAAATAATTTAAAGCTAATTATTTTTCCAAAAACATAATTAAATCACAATACTCGTATGAGACATGGTGTAAAATCGTTTAGTATTTTTAATTCTCGTCCATATTTTTTAATGTTCAACTCTTACGTATTTTAGATAAAATTCTAGAACCTTACTAACGATTTTGTTTTTCTTCGGAACAAAATGAAATAAAAGACAATTAAATAACAAGACTTGAGTAAAAAAAATAAAAATAAAATTACTGGTACAATTCGAGAGGTGAAAGGTCCTGGTCGCTTGGCCATCCTGAACAGGTTCGGATGTGGAGTGGTATTTATATTCATTTTCAACTGCAAGTTCAAGTATGGCCAGGAATAGCGTTTGTTAGGCCCCCCCCATCACTTGGACGGTGGATAGCTGCCCATTCTATACAGCCTCCACTCTCATCTTTCATTATTTACATTAGATTTATTAATTAATTAATTAGCTCACCAGACATTACGATTACTAAGAACTAATGGTACAATAATCGAGACACTCTCTCCAGTGGGAACAAGAGAGAAATTCACCAACTACGTACTATTAGCTCAGAGCCTCAGACTTTCTGTTTTAAAATAATAATAAAAAATATAATAATTTCAGGCACAATTTCATTGAATTTCAAGGCTTTCATGTCCATATTTAACACCTTCCCTCATTTATACCACTTATGCCACCTTGATTTTCTCTCCCATGTCCCTCTTCTCCATGTTCTTCCATCTGTCCTGAGACCACACGTACTGATGTCCCTTTTCAAATCTTCGTTTATCACCTCGAATTTCTTTGGGTTTCAAGTTCATAAATTAAGTCTGGTTCGACCTTGTTCATTACGATAACTAATTTGAATGTTGTTGTGTATCATATTCAAGATCTAAACGAGCCAGTTGGTTTGCCATCTCTGCTTAGCGCACCCATTTCATGGATCTTGTAAGCAAAAGCTATGGCTCTCAATCTCTTCCACCAATGACAAATCCTGGTGGCTCATCACTTTTTGGACCTCGTACTCATTCTTCAGAAACAAGCTTCCCTATTATAGCCATTGCCATAATAGGAATTCTGGCCACGGCTTTCTTGCTAGTAAGCTATTACATCTTTGTCATCAAATGCTGTCTGAATTGGCACCGTATCGATCTTCTAAGGCGATTCTCCCTATCAAGAAATGGAAATCACGAAGACCCTTTGATGGCCTACTCTCCTGCTGCAATAGTGTCGCGTGGACTTGACGAGTCAGTGATAAGGTCAATCCCAGTATTTAAGTTCAAGAAAGAAGGGAACAGTTTTAGTAACCTTGGCGAAAGAAACTTCTGCGAGTGTGCAGTTTGCTTGAACGAGTTTCAAGAAGCCGAGAATCTAAGAAATTTACCGAATTGTAACCATGTTTTTCATATTGATTGCATTGATGTTTGGCTTCAAAGCAATGCTAATTGCCCACTCTGTAGAACAAGCATTTCGAGCACCACAAGATTCCCAATTGATAATGTTATTGCTCCAAGCTCTTCACCCCAAGATCCAAATCCTTATAGTGGAAGTCTCATGAGCGGAGATGAAGATTACGTTGTCATTGAGTTAAGTAATCACAGCCCTACAGATCAAACATTGCTTGCAGCACATGAAAGGTTGAATTCAGGAGAGTTATCAGCACGTTCAGTTAGTCCTTCGCCGAAGACGATACAGCAGAGAGTTGGTCACAAGAAATCAAGGAAGTTTAATAAGGTTACCAGCATGGGAGATGAATGCATTGATACTAGAGGCAAAGATGATCAATTCGGATTGATTCAACCCATCAGAAGGTCTTTTTCAATGGACGCGTCAGCAGATTGGCAGCTTTATTTATCTATTCAAGAGATAGTGCAGCAGAGCAGGCAAGTAACCGAGGTCAGTCCGGTTGAAGGTTGTAGTGGTAGAGCCAGAAGAACTTTCTTTTCTTTTGGTCATGGTAGAGGATCCAGAAGCAATACATCCTTACCTGTTTATTTGGAGTCGTAAAGTCAAAGTATTTTTGATTGATTATTTTCCTTGTAGTTTTTGGTTTTCCATTTTAAAGATATAGGGATTTTAATTACATGTGTTAGACACAAAACAGTATTCAATTGAAATATCAAATTCTAATTTTATTTGATTTTTAGTGCCAGTGCCTTTGCCCAATGTTTCTTGAAGGGCTCGAACAACAGCCAGGAGTCCCAGGACTAATAAGCATCATTGCTTAAACTGCCTCTTTTTTTAATGCTCGCATTATTTTTTCTGTGTTTCCTTTCAAGGTTTTTGAAAGTATAAGATTGAATGTTGTTTGTTTAGAAATATATTAAATTTTTTTTTTATATTAGAATATCAGAATTATTTGAAAACATTAAAAAAGTATTAATTTGAAGTAATAAATAAATAAATAAATAATTTTTTAAAATATAAAAATAAATGGGGTTTAAGTATATAATTAATATTGTTGTAATTTTTATTATTATAGTTTGAAAATATAAGTTTTAAAAAAGCTGTATCTTTTTCTTAACAAATGTTTTAAGAGGGCGTTTGCAGTATGGGATATTTTCTTCAAAGCTGTTGTCAAGACAAAACTCATACCACGACAATGCCAAATAGAACTCAAGTGCCTTTTGTTATTGCGTTTAAAACAATGTTTTTTTAAATATTGACTTTTTTTTGCTTTAAATTGATTTTTGTTGTTTTAATATTGTGATGATGTTAATTTTTTTTAAAAATATTTTTTTAAAATATTTTTAAATTACAAATACTTTAAAAATCAACTATTAATACAGTAACAAACAAACACGCTATAATTATCAGACCGGAATTGACATTATAGTATCCGAGAATAACAATGGTAAAGTATGGGTTGTCTCGAGTAGAGGGAGAGCTCTTTACAAATATTTAAAAGAATGAAAAAAGCTACGAAAGTTGGGGAGAGGTGGGAGGTCCCCTTGCATTGAATTAGGAGTTAGCTAGGGAGGGTCCTCTTCGATCGAGAGAATCACAGAGGGCATCGATCATATTAGTTCTGGTGGATGGAAAAGTTTACAAAAGAACAAGAAAAGTAAACAAGAAGGATTATAGAATTGCAAATCAAGGTCCCTTTCCATTGATTTAGGAGGTAGAGAAGAGTCCTTTTCGATTGAGATAATTATGACAACAGCCACCAACTTCTCGAGTAATTAATATTTCGAATATTGGTGAAGGGGGGAAGCTACGCTGTTCGGCCATTGTTCTTGTTGCTCCTCAACAACACTTACTTCCAACCTGTAGGAATCATCTGTTTATGTGCATGTCTCCAATAATGTCAAGCAAATGTAGAGGTGAATTTATATATAAAAAAAAATGTCGAGAGGGTGGTTGAATGAATATTTTGAATGCTCAAGCTTAAGGACACTAGCCTTCACCATATATAAACTCGCCATCTCCATTTCTTTTTTCTTTTTATTAAATGCATATCCTAATTTTATCATATTCTTCCCAAATCATTTCTCCAAAATTACCATGTAGAATAATGCATCCTGCTGATGTATCTGATAATTTCTCGGAATCTTTCTGCACGATTAGCATCAGTTTTCTCAAATTCAAACAGCTGGATTTTGAAGTTGCGCAGAAAATCTAAAGATACTTAACATCGATGCCCTTTATTTCAAGATAAGAGAACAATTTGATGCATTGTTTGAATAGGCTTAGGTTTTCGTTACAAGTGTATTTAGTATTGTAATAGCTGTTGTGATTATAATTTAAAAAAAATATTTTATAAAAAATACTATTAGTTAAAGTTGATTTGAAAAAATATATATTTGGTTAAAACTATAGTTAAAATTGAGATTGAACAAAAAATAATTTAATGTGTTTGGTTACAAATGCTTTTAAAATTGAGGTTATAAAATAATTTTTAAAAATATATATTAATATTTATGATTTTTAATTTAAATATTACAGGTTTAACTATTGCTATTTCATAGTGAAATAAATCATATTTTATATAAATTTTTTTTATTATTCCATTAAACTATCTACAATTCTATTACATACAAAATTCATCCGACAAGAACTATAATTTTCATAATTTTTTCAGCGTGCAATAAAATTAGGTAAAATATTATCAGGAATAAAATTGAGATTACATTATGAATAAATTTAATTCACTTTCAACTAATTTTTTTTTAAAAAATAAAAATTACTATTCACATTTACATGAATAATATGAATGAAATTAATTAATTATATTAGTTTTTTGAAAAACAATAATAAACTGTTTTTAAAAAAATTATCAAAAAAAAATTACGAATAAATTAAAATTTACTCGCACTTTTCACTTTAATGAACAGTATATTTATTAATAAATGCTGCACTGTTTAATGAACATACTGATTACAGTATGGCGTAGCCATAAAAAACACGTAGTATTTGCTTTTGTTTTTCAACATTTCAAATATATAATTTGGTGGGATACATGAATAACAATTTATATTGATTTTGATTATTAAATATTGTTGTATTTGTATTTTAAACAAAACATATACACAACAACATACACAAACACGCTGTATTTCAGCCTATGTATCCATACCAACTAGGGTTGGCAAGATCCTGAAACATAAGGATATGCGGGAAAGTCATATGGATTGTGAGAGCTTCCACTAGTCCATCCCCTAGTGACAAAGAGGTTGCAGCAACTTCAAGGTATCAGAAACATGATCCATGTCTCGCTAGTTGCAGAAATGTGCATAATATTCCATACCCAGGGCCATAGATTGGTCCTGATTTCTCTGACAGTCTAACTACAAAACCCACATCTTCATTTCTTATTTTTCTCTGGTTTTATTCTCAGCAGACACAATCACTGACTTGATAAATATTACAATAACATTGGTTCTCTTCCATCTGATGATATCATGGCCTTCGATTTTCCTCAGCCATGTGCTTCCATGTATGGGCAAAGATAGCATATCTTTGACACTCTTGAAGCACCCGTGAGATGCTGCGAAATCTAATGAACATGAAATTGCCATTGCAGTTTTATAGAAATTACTATATTATTGACATCTGCTATGGATTAGATTAGATTTTTTTTTAATATATAAAAAAATATTAAGACATTATTAACTTATTTTCTAGTAAAAAAATAATAAATAAAATTATGTGAGAATTAATTTAATGTGATCTAGTTAGCTTTACAAATTTAAAAACAACATGAATAACTACTAAAAATATAATTTGACTAAAAAAATATTAGAAAAATATTTTTTTAAAATATTAAGATAAAAATATATTGGATTGATTCAGGTTAAACTGTTAAATATTGTTAAATATACGACTTGAGTTCTAAAACTGAGATTGTCTAAATCATAAAAAGTTAGAAGAATTAATTGACAAAACATGTGATCCTAATTATTAAATTATGAATTAAATATACGACCAAACATGTGATCCTAATTATTAAATTATGATAATTTCATAAAAACTAAATAGAAATAATTTATAAAAATTAATTCTTTATCAACCCAAAGTAAAAAAATAAAATTAAAAAAGAATTAATTAAAAAAATAACCGAAGTCAACTGTTTAGTCTACTAATATGCAATTTGGACTACAAGACCGAGATGATCTTATAAAAAAACAAATAAAATTTAATTTTTAATTAATTATTGAAGGATAAATAGAGAAAAATTCAATTAAATAAAATTGAGTTCGTCAAGTTAACTCATCAAATCTATGACTAAAATTATAATACTAGAATAATCTAATTAAAATTAAAAATTAAAAAAATAAATTAAATTTTAAAACTCAATTTCTAATAAATCAAGTATTAAAAAAATAAATAAATAATGGGAATAAGTGATTTCCGCTCCTCGTTGTTAATATTTTCAAAGTATCTTTTATACATAAAATTAGGTTTTGCATTAGCAGAAAGTTGTCTATATGAGATAAGAAGTTTATTAGAATTCTACTTCTCAACCTGTAGTTATACTCTAATGGCTCAATATTTGACCAGAATCCCATTTCCCTTTCCGTTTTCACTTTCAGACTCGCCGGGGAGAAGGGGAAACGTCCATGAGAACAAAACCCAGCCCACCTGCACCGGGAGCCCGGAGTCTGGCTCAATTCTACGAACTAAAATTTACTCGTGCCAATTTCAATACAGGGATTGGCCTCCATGAACAGATTAAGAGCCCAACTCATAAATAAAAAAAGGGCCTAACTTCATAAATTATTTTTTTGATATATATCTAATCTCAATAAAAATAAAAATAAATAAATCAGACCCTTGTATTTCAAAAATTATAAATTAGTCTTTATTGACTTTTATGTCAGCAACATTTTTTTTTATTTATAAGATATCTTAATTTTTATTTAATTCCTCTGATCTATTTTTTTTTTAAAAAAAAACTCCTAAATATTATTTTTTAAAATAATTTTTACTTAAAAATACATTTAAATAATTTTATTTTTATTTTTTTAATATATTAATATTAAAAAACAATTAAACAAATATATATTTTAGGAACCAGCAGCAGCCGCTTTCCACACATGGACAAAAGAGACCACCATCCTCCCATGTCACAATAAATACACATATTTTAGTATGCTAGAAAGATAAAGACGAGATAAAAAAAATTACATGATAATAAAGGAAGGTGTAGCATCGATGATTTTGATACATCTTCACTCCGTCTTTATAATTCGAGACCGAAACTATCTTAGGATTGAAATTAAGAAATTTAAGTGAGAACCACTTATAATTATCATCACAGGTCACATTTTTCGTGAATTAAAGAGTAATGTAGAGTGATTTTCTATATAAATGATCAAAATATCGAAATTAATTTTATAATTTTTTGAAATCGAAAGGTTTAATCTATTTATTTATTTAAACTACAATGACTAAGTTGCAACTCAGAAATTCTAAGAGGGCCACCTCTCACCATCCTATCCATTTCCGAAGGCTTAAGCCTGAGCTTGTTGCCTGCATCTCAATCTGCAGGGCACATCGATCCCGGAGAGAGGACTGCGAAGAAAACACCCACCATGAAGATAATGGTAGCAATAAAGAGAGTCGTTGATTACGCCGTGAAGATCA